ATTATTGATTCAGGTGCTTCTGATGATCGCGGGAAGGCGAATGCGTGATTGTGCACCTTATATTTTCATGATTGATTCTGGGGATACTCTGATGTTTAAACTATTTTGAAAACAAATTGTAATAACTTAATGGTTTTAAATGTTTTAAAAAGTTTTAAATTGGCTCAAATTTTATGGATGTTACATAGTTGCAGTCAAATACTTCCAGAAAATGTTTCATGAGTTTTAGATATGTATAACTATTTTTCCCATATTTAACCACTCGAATTCTCATAAATTCATGGAATAATAGTAAACAGTTAATAAAAATTATCAATCTTTTCATACAACTGTTATACAATGTATATAAGCTGAGAAAAATATAAAAAATTGTTTTCATATAGTAGAGTCCGGTTTTCATGATTTATGTGTATTAAATGAGGGAAATATAGAATAAATAGTAAATGGATTTGATAATTGTTTAAAATGTTTGTACAATTGTTAGTTGACGTATACAAATTGGGAAAAATATCAAAATCAGCTTTGGAACAAGTTAACCTATTTTTATGATTTTTGTGTATTTATTCTATTAAAAATGTAAATAAATATCAAACAGTTTAGAAAATTTCCCAAAATTTTTATTTGTGTTTAAAATGTAATACACGATGTTATAATGATTTCTTGTGATTTTTAGAATAGTTTAACTATTTTTCCTTTATTTATTCTCATAAATAAACATTAATTAATGAAAAATTATTAAACAGTAAAAAAAATCTCTAAACTTTTTATTTACAATTAATATGTAATATAAGATATTTTTATAAAGGTTTATAATTTTTAGATAAGTTTAGCTATTTTTCATCAATTTAATCCCTTAAACATTCACTAAATCGGGAAAACTAAGAAATTATCATGGATAAATCTGTAATTTTTGCATGGGGTCTTTATGTTGTTTAGAAGATGTGAAAATTATGAAATATGGATTTGAACATTCATAACTATATTTTACTATTTATTTCTCTTCAACAATTACTTCTTTCATTTTCTTTAGATTCTTGATTACTCATATAGGGTTTTAATAAAATCAAATTTTGATAAATTGAAAAAATTGTTCAACGAAACCTTAAAATTTTGAAACTTGTTGGAAATTTGTTTATATGTCAATTTAGGGTTCTTTTTGTGTTGTCATGTTTTTTGATTTGGCTATATAGGGTTCATTTGAAGTTTCATTTCTCTATAAGAATGTTAATGTTCACATCCAAGTGGAAACAATCACAACTAGTAAGCATTCTAAATGATTTTTCACTTACATTAATCAAAACTGTTACTTTAAATGGTGCGTTCTGTAAGACTCAAAATGCTACGATGTATCAATCGGATTCACTTGATGGTGCGGATCCCAATCAAGTGAATTAGACAAGACGAAATATAGAATAAAAACACAATGATTAATCTTCAATGCATACTATTATTGAATAGCCAAGTACATAAGATTCTTGAATACACCTGGTTCTCTCTTGTTTCTCTCCAAATCACGTTCTAAGCTTATGGCAGCCCCCAAAACCGTCCATTACCCTTTACAGAGCTCAAATGACACTATTTATACCTAGACCTAATAACCAAGGCCCAACCCAAAACCCAAACAAAACAATATTAAGCCTAACCAAAATTACATGTGATTTCGGTCCAAACAACACCAAAACATGATGTTTTCGGTCCTAGACCGAGAACTCTAAAAGCTTATGAGAAGCAAAGTATAAACCAGAATATATGACCTAACACGTTCTCATAGATGCCACACCGATTGTCATTATAAAGACCTTCTAGCGGTCTATAAAAAAATCCTACCAGCTCTATGAAGAATTTTGTTGGTTTTCAATGAAGGATCACTCTGTCAACATTCGTTCTCTATAGTTCTTTATCTTATTTTCGATATAGATGCATGTCACAACAATAAGACAGAAAGAGGTGTTAGTGACCATTAAAGATGAAAAGGTAAGATATAATTTAAGAATATTATATAAAGTGTAAATTGTAGATTTGGGATATTTATTTCTATGAAAAATATGTTGTTTGATTGCTAGGTTACTTATATGGGTTTTTTTTGTAATTTGATTTTAACAAGTCTGATCTAAATTTGATAATTGAAGCAGGTAGGAAAGATATGCGCTAACGATTTTGAATTTGTATTGTCCTACAGAAACCAACCGTAGCCTCAAAGACCGTTCCCTCATATCTCAGTAGGTCTTAACATTTCCCCAAATTCAGCTACAAGAAGTTATGGATGCACTTCTTGAATAAATCATCTAAACTGAGTTTCATTTGTTACTTGGATGCAGTGACCAAAATGCAAGATTTGTGAAAGTTCATTATTATTTATTAGTGTTAACATTTGGAAAATTATGAAACTAATATTATATTTTTGTTCATAACATGTTTTTTCTTAATCATTTCTTTGATCGGAAGATATGTATATGTGATTGGGTGTAGCCTGAAAAATCATATTTTAATTCTTACAATGAAAAAATACTTAACAAATTGACCAAATTACAATGTCTGAATTTGATGTTTATGGTTATGGAAATGCACTTTAATTGTGATTTTTATCGAATTTCTTTGCAGAATTTAACGTTGTCGGTACATATAACAACTTATTGTTGCTTTTGGTTTTACATGGCCAATATGAAAAGAGCCATATGAGCCTCCATGCGGTTTGGTACGCAGAACAAAGTCAATTCATAAAGCTATTACACAACATGTTTTGATTAAGGAGTCACATCATGTTGTGATAAAACAAAGATCACGTGGATCATTTATGTTACAAATTATTGTATTAAAAAACCAAATTGCTCTAATATAAATATTAAATATTTTTATTTAATAAGTTTGGTTCAAAAACTCTAAAAATGAATCTAACTGACATTTTTTATTAAAATTCCACCTAAAACAATACTACCTATTAATATGAGATGTAATAACGCGGTCATAATCTAGTTTTATCAAAATAACTTAATTTTAAATGGTGATCAGGTAATAGAAAAATAAATACAGAAACACGATGTGTAGAAACCGTTTGCGAAAATATTATAATTTCCAGATCTTTCTTTACACGATCGTAATATCACGCACTTCTTTAAAATGACAATTCAGCAGAAAACTCTAATTAGCCCTCAGCCATGGATCCTTGAGGCGTCAACGTTCATGACGCTTTTATTGGTAGCATTTCACCTCCTCGCATTGGTAATCGGACATTTTTATAGTTTGATTCATTGCACTTAATCAGATCTTTAATTCCTTCTAAATTTTTATAATTTTGTTAAAAGTTTTTGGGATTTACTAACTAGCTACATTAACACGATCTCAAGGAAAAGCCGAGAAATTGAAGAAAAGTAATTAGTGGTTTCAACTTTCAAGCATGCATTTAGAATTATTATCATTGTTGATTTGTTGGCGCTGAAAAAATTTCCTATCTTTTTAACATTTTGGGTGTTCCATGAAATGCCTTGTTATTCGTTACTTGCTTGAAGTGGAAATGCTAAAAATATTAGACACCGGTAATTAAAAAGCAGTGTTTTTTATTCTGGTCCCATTTGCTTGATGCCGTAAAACATAAAGGAAATTGGTATAATTGATGGTGTTCGATTACATTCCTCAAAGAAATATTCATTACTGATAATTTGGTATTTGTTTTGTTATTTTATCCGTCGTTAGTGGTATTATGGAGTAAAAGTGCGCGCTAGTGGATAAAATCACAACACATGTGTATTAAATTAACTTAAAAAGTAGAATCCCAAGTGTTCTTACATGTCAAAAAAGTACTTCCACTGTTCCATAAATCATTTTTTTACACATGAGTTTAGGCATTGATCGTTTATTCGGACAAAGTTGGATACATAGACAAAAATTGCAATTTTTTGTCTTATAAAAAGGTGAGCCTCTAGTGTGTGTGCAAAAGACAAGAATGACCTCGTCATCTTCATCATCGAAAGTAGTCTTCGAAATTTTTTACAGTCCAGTCATGTCCTGTGTAACGAATACAGTGTAAATGAGCAAGTAGATTAGATTTGGAAACAAGAAATCTTTAAAGAGGAGATTCTATCTAGTTGTACAATCTTCTTGTGATTCTTATCATGATTAGGGACTTGGGATCAAGCAAGCAAGAGTGAGGGGGAACTTGGGGAGCACCTAAAAACAGCACATACTAGTCTTGCATTTATCCAAAAACCCCGACAAAAATTGATTTTGGAGGTTAATTAATCCTTAATGGAGATAATATTATATATCTTGTATTTGATTAAAGTAACTTAGTTTTAATCATTCTGTACCCATTATTAAGTAGAAGAGCATATTAAAAGTAAAGAAACCTGCAAAGTTATAAACTTTTCTTAAGGAGTGATGCTGCTGTTGCCATGTCAGCAGCTCATCAAACACGTTGCCATTTTTTAAATACGAAAAGAGTAACAAAAAATTGATCAATAGGGATTGTTTGGCAGAGTGTGAGATGCAGAATTAGTGTTAAGTTTACAATGATGAGGGCATGTGGTGTGTTAGATTAGGTTTTTTCAATTGACAGGCAGTACTCATGTGACATATGTGCCTAGATATAACTTATAATAAGTCTATCCCCTCTATGATCATGTGTTTTAAGGGGCAATTATGTAATTTCACATTTATCTCAATAATCATTTTTATTACAAACAACTTATATTGTTCGTTCAAATCAGGATCATTTTGATCCTAAATAAGAATTCTGCAGTAATGAATTGCAAGAATATATATTTTTTTGTTAAAATTAAGTTTAAAGTCATAAATAATCGTGTACTTGTTAAGTAATTTCACCATGGTCTATCACACTCCAACATTAATTAATAAAGGTACAAGATTATGTAGTGATTGGTTGATTCAATGTATACTTAGTGACACAATCATGAAATCTCCTACTTGACCTTTTTCTTTTTGCTTTTGATGACTTGGTCACTTGCCTTAAATATATCTTTTTTGAAAACATCTCCTCTATCAAAATGCAATCCTCTAAAGGCCTTCACAAGAAGCAAAAACTTCCATATAAAGGATGCAAGAGATTTTGTTGCAATTGTCGGTTTAGTGTTTCTTCTTCTTCCGAGGAAACCGAAAGTGGGAAATCTGACCGCTTCCCTACTGTCTCTAGCCTCGCGCACGCCATGGTTCAAGAAAGATTAGACCAAATAATCAGAGAAAGGCAAGAAAGAAGATATGAAGAGAGGAGGAGAAAGGTAAGAGAAAACAGTAACAATATCGGTTACAGTAATAATAATATCAATAACAGTAGTACTAGTAATAACAGTAACAGACTGTTTGTGATGGTGGCTATGGAGAAATCATCATATAATCTTAGAGAAGATTTTCGGGAATCGATGATGGAGATGATCACGGCGAACCGGATTTCAGAACCTAAAGATTTACGCCGACTTTTGAATTGTTATGTATCGATGAATTCAGAGGAATTTCATAGTGTTATACTTGAGGTTTTTCATGAGGTTTGCTCAAATTTGTTCTTGTATTGTAAGTGTCGTTGAAGGTTAGCAATATGGTTTTAATGACAATAGATGTTACATTGAGGTTTTATTTTCTATTTTTAATTTGTTCATTCTTTTTCTAGTTTATCACTTCATGTCTTAAAAATTAGGAAAATGTGATTGTGAATGTTGCTTTTAGAATAAGTATTACTTCAAGGGTACGTGTTCCGGACATAGAGGAAATCAAATAAGATAATCATATAAAATAAAAACCAACTTATGTGAAGGAAAATCTAGATCGGCCCACATAACTAGCACAGCCAAAACAAAGTAGAGTTATTCGCTAAAATAATATTATTTAAGTATATTTAAGTGTGATATATGTCTATATTACCACTTTATGTCGTTTATCACAAAACTAGGTGTAAAACCCGTGTATTACACGGGTGGATTAAAAAAAATAAAATATTAAAATGTAAATAATAAGTATTTATTAAAATAAAATTTTGAAATAAAAAATAAAGAAACATATTAATTGCAATTTAGCATAATATTTATTACATTTGATACTTAACATATATAACTATTAGTATTATGTGACTTTTTAACCCTAAAAATTAAAAAAACCATAAATTGACATGTGGAAATTATTTATTTAAAAATTATCATAAAATGACAAATGTTAAAACTCATTAGAGATTGACATGTGGCAAAATTATCTTCATTTATTATAATAGAAATAGATTATCATCTAACAGACTAACACGCTAAAAGAAATCCACAAATTCACGAGAATATTTTTTCTGACACGAAAAATCCTTTTATAACAAAAACCGGTGAAAATTTTAGCCACAAATAAAATAAAAATGGTGAGCCGGAAATCCTTAAAATTGCATAAAATAAATATTTCTGAAAAAAAAAATACATAAGAAAGTCTAGTCGAAATCATCAAGATGCATGGTTTGTACTTTGTACTTTGTAGTGTTTAGGCCGTAGGTTCAAAATCTAATAAAGACAATGAAATGTTTTTTTTTCTACTTTTGACTTCCATATTTATAAGAAAAATATTGTTATTCGTTTTTTAGATATTTTTTATTTAACTAATGTTGTGCTGATGAAAAAAGTAAATGCTTGCGAAAAAAATCCTTCGAAATTCACGAGTTTGAGTATACTCGTAAATTCGTGACTAAAAATAGCATATATTTAATAACAAAAATAACGTTATGAATTCACTATTTTTTTTAACGATTCATATGGTTATCTAATTGATAAAAATAAAATGTGATCATTTGGGTCTATATCACACCCATATTATTTTAGGGAACTCTAACCATGGTTGAGTTATATTTTTAAGGTATTTAAACTTATGTATATTACTGATATTATTGTAGTTGAGCATGTCTCAAATTCAGATAATGAGACTTGACTTGAAGATTTAAGAGATTATCTTGTAATTCCAATAACTCAAATAATGAACTTAATCAGAACTAAAATCTCAACAATCGCTCCCTTATCTTGTATCTGGAATTCAACATGTTGGTGTAAACGTAGAGTTTACAAAATCCACATTTTGCAAATCTCGAGCTTTATTGATTACTAAAGTAATCTTTGTTAATTCTAACAACTTTATTCTAGTTATAAGTTATAATAAATTATAATATCAAAACAAATACGTCAAACACAACTTATTGAAGCGAAGTCTTTCACAAGATCGAGACATTTCACGCATACTTTTTTTTATCATACTCCCAAAGAGTATACTAATTTTATTTTATTTAATCAAGATCGAGGCTTGTCACACAGTTCAATAAATATATTTGAATATTAATTAAATATTTAAAACAAATAAATCAATGATTGTAAGCGAAGCACAATACAATAATGGATTTATGGGTAATGGCTAAAGTACATTGCTTATAACGGAAAAAAGAGCAAGTATGTTCCTATTCTCAGCAATTTGCCAGATTTCTAAAATATGCTTTAACACTAACAAAATAAATTCAGTCATCGTTATTTCTAAGTCAAATGTCTAAAATACCCTTCAACAATACAAAAAACAACCGAAGATATGGTAAATTGACAATGACATCATAAAACATTTAATTGCAAACCTAGTATCTTGTCACTAAAAGTTTTAGGTCAAAAACAATTAGCATCACCTAAAACTTATGATCCAAAAGAAAAAAATTAAAAAAAGCAAAACACTTAGCCACCAAATTGTTCTTTCGTTCACAATCCCATCTCAAATCTAACATCATAAACAGTTAAACACAACAAAAACAAAAAACACGAAAATTGTCGCATCAAAGAACAAAAATCATACCTTTTTTTTCTTTTAAGATTGATCAGCAACATCTGAAGTTAAATCTTTCACCTTGTTGTCCTCAGTTTCTGCATTGGAACAATGATTCTTCAAAACGGTTGCAATGTCAACCTCAGATGCACCCGCAAGCTTAAACCGGTCAACCGCAGTGTCCAAATTTTCCTTCCAACCGGTCAAACCCAATTTACACTCAACTTGAGATCTTTCAAAAAGCATATTCCCCCAAAAAAGATGTATCTGAGACCTCATAACAGCCGCCTGTTCTGCCGCCTCATCACTGTTGACTTTTTCTTCACCACCAGTCTTTGACTTCTTCTTCAAAGATTCTTCTTTCTTGCTGATAAAATTCGGATCTTTAGCTTCTTTCGCTCTTTGTTCTTCAAGCTTCTCCCACATTTCGGTTGCGGATTTCATCTTCTCTTCAGCACTATCGAAAAGCTTAATCGTTTCAGTCGGGTCCCACTTTGACAAATCATCTTTTTTTGCAACAACAAACGACCAATAAAGTTTCGCCATTTCAAATTGTTGTTGACCTAACGCGAGTAACCCTTCGTAAAAATCGGGTTTTATCATCAATGCTTCTTCGTATTTTTCTCTTGCTAAAGTGTATTTCTCTTTCACCCATTCATATGCTGCTTGAAGGCGTGTGGACACTGTTTCTTGATCCCCGGAATCATCGATCGGAATCCGTTTCCGGGCCGCACACATGTGAACGTTTCCCCAATTGAAAAAAGCCAAAGCCGCCACTTCTTGGAACTTTGAAGCCGCTTTGTCGAATAGAGTTTGAGCTTCTTCACTTGTTACGGTTTCTTCCAGAGCTTCGGAACACAATTCCATTCCGATCTCGTGTAAGTCGATATGAGCATCCGGGTCGATTCCGACGTGGGTTCGGAATAACTGAGCGAATTCAAACAACCAATCGTCCATTTCAACTTCTTTCAACTCCGGATCATCGGGTATTTTTTCGGCTTCCTTTTCCGGTTTTTGTTCACTTTCGGAATTGGAATGGGACCCGTTGTTTTCCACTTCAATACTCTCGATCTCAACCGGCTTTTCTTCTTCCACTTCTTCTTCTTCTACTTCTTCTAACAATGGTGGCTCCTGCTCAGGGGTAACCTCGACAATATGCAATTTCAAAACCCCAAATAAGTCGAATTTTTCGGTATCGGGTTCTTTATCTGGAAGCACAAGGCCATCTGCAATCGATTCAGCTAATCTGAGCTCACGGGTACATGTTATAGTCACCAAATCTCCATCATCATCTTTGTATTTTATCAAAACAGACTTAGAAGATGGAAACCTTTTGCTCACAATCTCTCTCAAAACTTTGAAGTTACAGTTCACTGGCATTTGGGCGAGACGTATATCATGATCATACACAAGTTTCAAAGGTCTCCATTGAATTGCAACCTCTAAAGCTTGCAGTTTTGAAGATAAAACAACCTTTTCCTTTTGGGAATCCTTATCACCATTAGCAGTAGGTTTATTGGAACCACCATGAGAAGGCTTCAAAACAAGATTTGGCATCTGGGTGGTTTTGACTTCAGGGTCAATCTCAATAGGTGGGACCGGATAAGTCTTATTGTTGGGAACACTGACCGGAACAGAAGGGGTGGTGCCGGTCTTTTTTGGAACTGGACGGGCGGGCAGACAGGGCCCGAGTCCAGCAATCGGGGCTCCACGGATGGCAGAAGCCCCTAAAGCCGCCGGTGAAGGGCGGCTATGGAGGTCCTGTTGGGCCTCCTGGCGAGCCCCAATGATTGGGGCCCGCAGTTTTCGGGCAATTTCCAAAGCATCGCGATGATTTGGTTCAGCTCCTAAGAGTGTTTGGACATCCAACATTGCCATTTCATACTTCCCTACAGCCTCAAAAGCTCGAGCCCTACGAAGCAAGGCTCGAACATATTGAGGCTGAACTTGAAGTGCCATGGAGCACTCGGAGATCACAGTTTTGTAATCTATGGGCTTCATTTGCATCAAACAAGCGGCTTTATTGCTGTGGTACACTGCTCGATCTGGGTGGGTTTTTGGGGTGAGTTTAAGAGCGTTCTCGTATTGTTCAAGTGCACCCACGAAGTCTCTTGATTGAAACCTCTTGTTGCCTTCTTCTTTAAGCTCGTGAGCTCTTTTTAAGAAAATAGTTGGATCCAAATCAATACCAACACCGCCATTAGGTGTCATTGATGACGGTTTGGTGTTAACTCCCGACACTTGACTCTCGGTTTGACTAGGGTTTTGATTTTGATTGACAACGCCACCCTTCTTCTTCCTACCTCCAGATTTCCCCATTTTTTCTGACTAAAAACTGTATTTAATCTAAATCGAACTGAAATGACGAACTATCTAACTTGCAGAATGCTCGATGATAAATTAATTCGTGAAATTGAGATATTAGAGATAAATTTACCTAGCTCTTGGGGAAGTACACTCCTTTTCGAGCCGCTTGAAGCGAAAGAGATCGTTTTGCACGAAATTGAATCTTCTTGATGGAATTTGAAGATTCAAGAGTTAAAAAGATAGGATTTTGGGGGGTTTTAGGGAGGTTCTTCCGTTTGAACTCGAAACCCTAGATAGCAGTACCTGATGAGCTAGAATATCAATTGGAGAATGGGGGGCCTACTTGTTTTATATAATGGTTTTCCGCAACATTGTTTGGGGCTCCATTACTTTGATTTGAGTAATTACATAATCATCCCTCTACTTCTTCATCACGTATGTTTTGTCCCTTAACTTTGTATTTTGCATTTTCATTTGCAATATAAAAAGCTTTTGGCATTTTATTTAGGCGAAACTTTAACATTTATCTAGAGGGCCGAAAATATAATATGTATAAAAATTGGTGAGCTAAGGGTCACAGCCAATATTTAATATTTTTGGGCCTAATATATATATGGTACCAAGTGGTGCACCTAGGCTAGAAAGATTTATAAATTATGTGTAAGAAAGTATGTTTTATCTTTATGTACACAATTAATTATTGTCATTTTATTTGTATATGACAAGAATGGTTATTACTGTTTTAAATTGTACATAAATAGGGACAGTACTAAGGAAAAATCGCAAATTGTCTAACATTTCATCAAAGGTTAACATTACAGTTCAAAAAGTTCAAAAAAATCAACAGGTCAATCAGATCTTCCTCTCAGCAACGTTTTTGGTGTGACATTTGGTTAGATTATGCATCTCTATCCACATAATACCCCCATGTTATTTGCACTAGAGTCTGATCTAGATTTCAAAATCATTAAATGATTAATGTAAATGAAAAACATATAACGGAATCGTTGTGCTTATCTATGTAATCAATAGATTTTCATGTGTCCTCTTCTCATTTAATAAAAGTCTTTATATACATAATACAAGATAAGCCTCACAAAAATGAGCCAATATAAAAATACAAGGCTATACAAAATAACAAAATATAAAAAGTACGGTATATGTGATATATGGGCGAGTGAAAGTGAGATATTGAAGAGCGCCAACAAGGCTATGATAGGTCGTAGGATCTTCAAATTTAGAACCAGTCCCATCTAGTTTGGAGGAAAGATCGGTCGAAGTAGAGGTCGGCTTGCAGTGTAACATGCCTGCACGATTTAGGATTTCAGAAGCATACTTTTGTTGGGATAAGAAAATGCCTTGAGGGTCACGTGATGCAGAGATACCGAGGAAGTAGTGAAGATCACCTAAGTCAGTCATAGAGAACTCGACACTCAGAATGGCGACGATCTGAGAAAGAACCGAAGATGAAGACCCTATCAAAACAACGTCATCTACATAAAGAAGTAGGTAAGCTGTGTGAGATCATGTCGATAAATAAACAGAGACGAGTCACAACGACTATGAACAAAACCCAGTCTGGAACTAAACATGGAAAATCGATGAAACCATGCTCTCGGAGCTTGCTTGAGGCCATAGAGAGACCGCTGAAGGAGGCACTGTCACACCCCCAAACCGAGACAGCAGAAACGTTCGGGGGTGGAGGACGTCATGTATAGTATCACAACAATTGAATAATAGTAATCAAAGCAACAACAACCATTGTATTAATAATATAGTGTTTACATTGTATTCAAATTATATATGATTGACTCTGAAAGTAATTAGCAAAATAAAGACTTGAAGCTACTATGCTTCGTCTTCTAGAACCTGCGCGAGTACCTGTCAACTAGTGTCCTGAGAATACAAGTGGTTTTGAAAGAGTGTCAACATTAAAGTTGGTGAGTTCATAAGCATTTGTTTTGAGAAAGTATGTCCTTTGATTCTTGAAAACTGTTGAGAGAAAAACTTGAGTCACACTTGAACAAACGTTAGAACAAGTGATAATGCGGAATAAAGTTTAACTCAAAGGATCATTAAAGCTCAACAATAATAATAAGTTAGAGTTAGAAAGTTAGAAAGTTAGATGCGGAAATATAAGGAAACATAAATGACAGCAAGTATTATATCAAGTAGACACTTAAGTTGATTCTTAACAAGGAATGCAACCAGACCAAGTTAGTATGTGAGATCAAACTTAGTGATTAAGTCAAGAATGACTTGCTCCGAGGAGAGATTACAAGTGGTTAAGATTATATATAGGTTGTGAGTAAGAAGAGAGTAAGATGAAAGATAAGATTCAAGATGCGTGAGAGATGTGTATTTATTCTGAAAGTGAGAACTCTATTTATAGAGTCTTGAAGATTACAAAAGTGCTATCTGTTGCAGGTTGCCACGAAGGGCATATTGGATAAATGAAAGTACTAATAGAAAAACAGATAAAAGACTAAACTAAGTGTTGATGACAGTGGTTGCGGTTCTTGACTGCGGTGCAGAGTTGACTGCGGTTCCTTATGACAGCTTCGGATCTCTTATAAGTGTAAGAGGGTCACTTTAATGTTTCAACAAAAACCTTAGTATGTTCTTCCAGAAATTCTTATATATTTTCTGATGTGATGTAAAGTAAGAAGTGGATACCATAATAGTTCCTTCTACGAGTGCTTAGTGTACACAAGTTATATATAATTTGGATCGAACAGACAATCGACTGTGTAATTCTGCTCTAAGCCCACAATCAAACAAGAAATAGGAAATGAGGCGGAATCACACATCCCACTGTCTGTCGGATCTTTATTGGATGTAACCCTATCGCATTCACTAAGTAATTTCATAGTTAACTGTAATGGTCCTTTCGAAAGAACGTGTGTTGGTGCGATAGTGCATTCTGTGTGTACGCGATAGTGCCTTCTGCGTATACTCTCTAGTGCTTTCAGTTTTATCCTGGTTATTACCACTGTGAATGATTCGTACCGCATTAAGTGAGTACTAGCAGTAAGAGTGTTCTGATAGATAGTGATGATACTTCATATTATGATTCTTACCAGGTCTATCTATAATCGCTTGGTGTCTACAAGTCATATATAATTAAGGCTGAGAAGACAGTCGACTGAGTGATTCTGCCCTAAATCCACAACCAGACAAGGAACAAGAACTAAGGCGGAATCACGCACTCTAAGCTTGTAATTCTAATTATATATGACCCTAATGCTTACACTAAGCCATCACAGCTTACCTGTAGGGTACTTAGTTTTCGTATAAGTGATGTGCTTTGTTCGGACGAGGGAGCAAATTGTTTACTTTTAATTGATACTAGTCTTAGTAAAATTTAAGTTGTAAGTATTAGTGTTTAGTGACGTACCAAAAATCCCAGGAGTGTTCCTCGTTGTTTCGACATGACTTATCGCTAAATTCCTCCCGCTTCTCCGTCCTTTCTCTCCTTGGCACAATCTCTCCTGAAATGTCCCGTTGCACCACTTGCATGACACTCTTGACTTGTACCAGCATTGGTAGCGGAAGTGATGTGTCGGGCTGGGGTTCTACAGGCACGGGCAGTGTGTCCCTTCTTATTGCACTTATTACAACGCAACTCCCTGCAAACTCCCTTATGATGGTAGTTACACTTGGCACACTTCGGGAGTGTTCCAGCATACACCCTGACAGGTGTTGGAGTGGTTGTTGTCGTAACAGACGTTGTGGCAGATGTTGTGACTATAGGGGTGACGGATGTTGTGGCCGTAGGGGCTGCCACAGGTTGCTGTCTCTTGGCAAGTCTTTGAGATAACTTACACTCCTTTCTGCTCCATAATTTATGATTCTTGTTCTTAGGGTTGGGACTTGTGGTATCCTCGTGTGTAGACACTCATTGGGTTCCCTAGTTGTTACTACAGTTTGAATTGTCGGTACTGTTTCAACTCTCGTTTGGGTTGTTAGCGTTGAATTGTGCCATGACAGCTGTCACGGCAGCTGTTACGACGGCTTGGAATGTGGCAGGGTCTATATGTAGAATCGGGGTTTCATCGGTTGGCTGGTTATTTCCATGTGAAGACATGATATGGTTGCATGAGGTGAAACGAGATCGTAAGTAACTAGGGTCATTTCTAGTTGTATTCTATCTCTTTATATATTCATATAAATTTCTCATTTTGTTATACAATTCTCAATGTTTCGATCTACATCCCATGATGTACTCATGGTAGTAGATAGGAATAGATATCAGATGAGTGTTAGGTTTTCTTATTTTAGTACTACTTTTGCCCAAGCACACTTATCCACGGAGTTCTGATGGGATATGGTGCATTAGTGCTGGTATGATTGCACCCGATGGGCCTACGGGGAGGTATCTTTCTGTTATACGGTTTAGAAGGTGAAACGAGGGTAAGTCTTTAGTGGTGGCTATAAGTCGAGCGTTATTTAAACTAAGCTATCTTAGTTCCGAGTGTATCATGTTCCGACTTTTATAGTGTTCTGAAAACAATTCATAACAGAGGCCTATATAATATAGACTTATGAATTAATAGTGGCTACCATCGAATGAATTTCCAGTGGATTGTATAACTGTTACTAGTTGTTACGAAAGACGAGATAAACCTAACACATAGTGTGAGCAGTGCAATTACTAACTCACTAGGTTGTATTAGTTTATTAATTATTAGTGTGACGCGTATAGTGTTCAGTCTCTCCGCATGTCTAGTGAGTGGTTTCCTCCGTTCTATGTTCCTGACATGATCATATCCTAGATTTATTTGTAGGGATTTGTTGTCTCTGGGCATTCCTATGGTGTTCTTGTCTTTCGTAGGTGTATTGAATCTATGTTCCATCCTGCTTCGGGTCTTGACACTGATCCCCATTAATTCATAATGGGGAGTCAGACCTCGGATGTTCGAGCGAGTTCCCTATGTCTGTTATCGCTAGGGTATGGTTCGGTAGTGATTACTCCGGTGCCTTTCTCTTTGGCTGGTCCCTTCTTAGTATTC